AGGAGGAGGGGGGGGGGGAGGAGAAGTTGAAAAAAAAAAAAGACGAAATAGGTAAAGAAGGTTAAATTGCACGAAGTTCGAAACGATCTCCTCGAGGTCGCGCGACTTGGCGCTTTCTTATCTAGAATTTTTCAATCTCGAAGCACTTGTGCGGGGAAGCACGGCACCGCGATAGCGGAAAATGAATGCCCCGCATAAGTGTATTTCCGTGTTGGAGGCGAGCGCAGGCTCTAAGGCGGCCTCTCGTGACTCCACCTTACACGAAGGTATCCTGAAGTCTTTCGATTGTACCCCTCCGATGCTCGGTGGTCCCGAATAAAAAGGAAACAAAAGGAAAAGGAAATGGAAATTTACGTCTGTAACACATTTGGAGAATCCCCTAAACCTTGGAGACTGCACAGGTCAAATATTTTTATTTTTATAACCCGTAAGCCGACCGCAGACTAATTACGATTTCGCGAGAGACAAGGTCAACCGTGGCTTTGTTCGATACAGATAAGGATATACTTCCACAGAATGAAAGGTCAGAGAGCGATAACGATCTGGTAGAATAATACATACACTTAAATGTCATACCTGTGTGACTTAAGAGACGCGTCAATGAAGGGAGCCAACGAAAGAAAAATTCAATAATAACGTTCACGAGGTTATATGAAATTTTTCATCTTCCCTGACGCAGACGAAATCGGTCGCTGACGTAAATCCGAGCATAAAGTTATAACATTGAGACGTCAGATGGCAACGTCGTCGTTATACGAACGTTATATCAGAAACCAATAAAAACGATCTGGGATCGAGTGGAGCACCGTTTCTATAGGTCCTAGTCTGCGCTCACGGCATTTTAATCCTCGCCGTACGAAGCCCTACCGCGCGTAACGTAGAACGTTAAGAGCATCACGATCGTATAACCTTGCGCAACGAAAATTTTCGGATATAACGTAGGACACTTACAGTTTTCAAAGTCCAAGAAAAGCCCGCAGATGCGTCTCCTCCAGTTGACACGTGTCCTTTTTAACGTCGACCAGTCCTCTGATGTTCGCACCGATAGTAATTGTCCTCATGCACACAAATCGTTTTCCACGTCAAGTTACACCGAGACTCTACACACTGTTCATAAGCAAAACTGCACTGGACATTCCGACTGTTTATGAAAAATAACAACCGTCCACAACACGTTAAACAATCGTGGCACGTATATGACGCGTGGTTTGTCGCGTGACGCGGACCGACGCGGGGCGCTTCGACGCTCGACACTCCCTCGTGCGCGCCGGCGAGACCCTTCTCGATGCGCCGTTCGAGTACGACTGAGGTGAACCCGCGACCCGCTACCAATCGGCGCTCTCCTCTGCGCACTACCCGGCCTCACAGCGATTGACCACCACACGCACGTTCTATCTCTGGTTCGTCTACCTAACTTGCACCAGGAGGTAAGCGTAGCACTGCGCGGTGGCGTACGTCAGTTTCACTATTGGTATAGCTTACTCGTACGTAGATATACGGCACGATGCGATATTCGTACAATATGGACAGGAGACGAACGAAGCTGAATTTATATCGAGGTTCAACGTACAATATGGATCTTTTAATATTTTAATTCAATCATGCTTTTGATTCGATGCTTTTATATAAACGCTTATTCCGCACGAGTGACTCCTCGACGTCCACGAAATGTCATTTTTCTTTATTTTTCTTTCCTCGTCCTCGTCGCTCATCCTCGTTTGCCGGATTACCCAGCGCGACGTCCACGAGATCAGTAGGGATGAATTGAAGGGGGGGCGGGGAGGAAAGGGGGGGCACACAAAATTCGCGAACCGACGCGACGGAAAATTGAAAGCGTCGGTAAGACGAAAGAGAAGTTTTTCCATTAGGAATATATTATACTGTCGAAGCACGTTTGGTACGTGACGAGCTGAAGGAATGGATCGTCAGTAGGTATTTCTATGAACGTGAAGATCGGTCTGGATAACCTAAAGAAGGATCGTGGAAAGCAGTATGATGTATATAGAAATGGCAATTCTTGACTTGATGGGTATAGGGGATTGTCAGTTTCATATATGGTACCTATGTGGATTCAAGACGGTACGATCATTGGATATTTGTATTAACCTAGGGCTGTTCGTGAATGATTGTACTCAGATACGTATACCGATATAAATCATTACCGTAGGAATATGAATTCCTATACGATTTTTCATTGGTGTTCAAGTATTGGCTCATTTTTTACGCCTCTTTCTTTTATTGCTACACTACTTGGAAATCAAAGTCGTCGGTATGGGCGAAGATTACACGAGTACGAAAAGCCTGTTATTTTCTTCCCAGGTCAATACCAAAACACGCTCCCCGTGTTCGAATCGACGTAATTGAAGAAACGTGAAGGAGCGTCTTCGGTGTTTACTTCGGAGGCATGGACGGTCGACGTGACTCCGATGTCACCTTTACGGTCGGTCTGACACGGAGGAGTGATTTTGACAAAAATAAAAACGGTTCGAGAAATTTTACTTCGTCGCGTCCGAATCTTATCTTACGTCTTCATACGTATGTATGTATATACGCACCGACGAGATTGAGCCACAAATCCAAAGAACTTGTTCGGCTCTGTAAATCCAGAAAATAGTACGAAAATCTAAAGGACATTCTGCTAGAGGATCTAGGATAGGATCGCGCAAGTACCAGAGGATAGGAATCGTACAGCGTAGAAAGTTCTTGACGCTCTCACGGGGATGGTAACGATCGAGTAATATCGCTTAGGAAAATCCCTGGAAGGATATAGGGGAAAGGTTTTAAACGGCCAATCATATTCCAGAAAGACTTACCGTAAGTAAAATGTAAAGAGTATATATCTATATACATTAAATCGAATCGAGAGTCACCGCACAATAGGAAAAAAATAGAATATGTCTCAAGGTTATAACAAAGATGAATTCACAATTACCGAGAGACAGAGTAACTTCTTCGTCTCAATGACATTTATTCACCGTGAAAGAATGAAGTCTGCATAATAAAGCGAAGAGGTTCCCGACGTCCAGAAGCGGATAAAAGAAAGGAAGACTGCCCTGAAAAGAGTTCAGTCTATGCAGAGAGAGAGAGAGAGAGAGAGAGAGAGA